TCAATCATTTCTTCGTCGTTTTATGCAACCTGAAATATCTACAGTTCTTATTCGAGATTTAGTGGGAAGGCAATTCTGAAGCAAAAGTGCTGGCAAAAGTTCAGCTTTAGCGATTGTGCAACTTTCACGTCCATTTCAGCATATTACCACAAAAGTGCATGTGTCATTTTTTCATCTGCCAATTGGCATCCTTTTCAGGCTCAATATGGCGAGATCGCATCACTGAGGCCATTCTCAAGTTGCAGAAGCGACAAGAGCTCTCGCTGCTCAAACGGAAATGGTGGACGGAGTACGAGATCTCGGAGCCCTGCGGCGACAGGTCGGAGTCAAGCAAAGAAGGCGAATCTCTGGGCGTTGAGCAAGTCGGCGGGGTCTTCATAATGTTGTTGTTCGGCTTCGTGTTGGCCTTTATTGTCTCAACAATTGAGTTTGTCGTCTACCACAGAGGCAGGCCCAACCGAAAGGTCAGTTATGCAAATATGTGTTTCTCTGCGACCTGTCACAGGCAGGTGTGATTGGCGACTCAAATTTGCTCCATTTGAAGGGATAGAGACGCTAGATCAGCACAGAAGGTACAGCTTGTCAAACACCGATTCCGAGAATGTTATTATTTTAGCTTCGGTCGAAAGCCTCTATGATGCCATTTATGTAGAGAAGAGATACCTTGGTAGGCCTGGTCTCTTTTGGCCGTGTTACGGTCATTCTCCTCCATCACGGTCCTGACATGTGCCGGAATCTGTGTGGTGGGGGTGAGAAGAACTTTGGGCTTTCACTCTGCCAACACCAGCTACGTTCACAACCTCTTAACGAAAGCACATTGTGAAACTAAAATGTCAAGCGGTTGAGGGAGAAAGAACAAAGGATCTCCTCATATTCAGGCTGGAATAATGGCATAGAAAGGTCTTCCATTCAGACTGTCCAGTGGGCTAAATTGTAAGCTAATTATCATACGAATGATGGAATGCACTAAAAGTCCAATGACCCTCGAGTTGAGGCCGAGCATTTTGATCGTTTTCCTACAATCGTATTGCACTTTAGAGTTCCAGACTTTCTCTAAATGATAAAGACTAAATATACTAAGGTATGAAGACCAAGATGGTGTGGCCTTTTGTGTGGTCACAGTCTCCTTTTATCGTATAGAAGTTGCTTGACCTTGTTTTCGCAACTTGGTCATATTGGTAGGAGCCGTGGATTTGGTACATTCCCAAACGTTTCGCCGGCCTCGTAGTTGGCATCGTCAGTGAGTATCGCCATTCTTAGCACCACGCAACAAATCGTGAAAGATACAAGTAAAGCCGATCCGTTGACCAAACTTGTGCTAAACAATTGTGCTATTTCCCCTTCTACCATGGGTTATTCGCGTTTCCGGTAGTATCATATCATGCCTTCACTATTACAATTTTTACCACACAATCTAAATAAACACGGTAAAAATTGTAATAGTAAAGGCATGATATGAGCTACCGGAAACGCGAATAACCCAGGGCAGAAGGGGAAATAGCACAATTGTTTAGCACAAGTTTGGTCAACGGATCGGCTTCACTTGTATCTTTGACGGGTTGTTGTGTGGTGCTAATAATGGCGATACTCACTAACGATGCCAGCGAAACATTTGGGAATGTACCACGTCCACGGTTCGACTTTGGAAATGATCATGCAGAGAATGGACCCAGGACAAGTTGCGTTCCTCTAAGTCTTCCTACCAATATGACCAAGTTGCGAAAACAACCTCAAACACTAAATATACTACTTTATATATAATATGTGATTTTGCTTTTACAATGGCTCTCTACGGGATGATGATGAAAAGGCGGTGATCACAGCTCAGCAGAAGGCTAGAACTGTCTGCTTCAGCTCGAATTGACCAAGACACAGAAATTATATTTTTCGCATCCGACCTGGCAGATGTCTGGCAAGCATATTATCGGTAGATATGAGGCGTATTCACCCTATTTCGTTAAAAGACTGGTAGCAGCATTTTCCCACAATGATATGAGTAGAGCTGACGTTTCCATTGCATTTCACAGAGCCTTGCTTTCCCAAAAGTTGTTCTCATCCAGGGCCGATATTTATTGCAAAAATACGTTTTTCTTCATCGACAATCCCACCAAAGAATGTGATATGCGAAACGGCCTGGCCCTCCTTGAAATTCATATTTCTCCTGTGACTCAAGGGCACTCGTGACAATGTGTCCGAGTGATTAACGTGTCAAGCTCCCATCCTGCACTGTCGCGGTTCGACTCCCGCTGAGGGTGTTGATAAGACCAATGCGA